GGTCAAAGGAAGCCTTCCTTTCGGGATGGAATGGCGCTGCCTGTGCGCTGGGTCCCCTTCCCCGCTCCCCTCCCGCCTGGCCGGATCAGGTTCCCGCCGCCCTGCCCCTCCGCGGCGCTCATAATGAATGCTTTCATTCACAAACAAGGAAACTGACACGGGGCGTTTCTATCAGGAAGCTAATGGAGCCGCTTAATGACTAATTGATCAGATCCCCCAGCGCGACTCTAGCCCCGGCTGGCCCAGAGGAGCAGAGGCAATTACGAGGGGAGGTGACTTGGGAGGGGCTGATCCGGGCAGCGGGGGGCGAGGTGGGGGAAGGGTGTGGGGAACCCTCCGCCCCTTGGTGTATGAGACGCGATCACTCAGTGGATTCGCAAGGGAGGAGGCAAGCAGGCCCGCAGGACTCGGAGAGTCACACACAGAGGAAGGAGCATAGGAGCCCTTCCTTCTGCTGAGTCAGGCCCCTGGTCCGTTGGTAGAGCATCTCTCTTGGATGCAGAAGGTCCCACGTTCCTTCCCGGCCTCTCCAGGTAGCGGGGATAGACTGGGAGACAGCCCTGCCTGGATTCCTGCAGAGCCGCTGCCCATCCGTGGAGACAGACCATGTACTGGCTGACTCGGTATATGGTTCTCTTGGTCGGTAGAACATGAGACTTTTAATTTCAGTGTTGTGAGTTCGGACCCCACGTTGGGCCAAAGAGTCCTGCATAGTCCAACTCTACAATTCGATTATTCATTGAAAAAGCGAAAGGGGAAAGGCATCTGCACACTCACATCGGCCACCATATTACGAGAGAGAGAGAGAGAGATCATTCTACCGTTTCCTTCTACTTTATAAAGCAACTGAGGGGAACGAGAAATATCGGCAGGAACGAACGTATCATAGTTTTTTGTAGCCCATCACAAGAAATTGATAGAAGAAGAAGAAGAAGAAGAAGAAGAAGAAGAAGAAGAAGAAGAAGAAGAAGAAGAAGAAGAAGTTCTGAATTCTTTCTCTTCATACACAGAAACCAGCTGCTAGATAGATTCTGGCCCTCTGAGCTGCCAACCCTTTTGCATCCTTATGAGCGGGGTATACTTCTAAGTAGGCATGTAGGAGACTTAGATGTTGGACACGTAAACAAACAAACAAAAACTGCACAGAAGCTGGAAAATGCTGAGACTGATTTCATCACCGCATGGGAAATTGTGGGTGGAAAGGGAAGACAAGCCTTCACTCAGCACGATGGGACTTGGGGTAAAAAAGAGACTGAAGGACAAGCTCTCGCTTGCGCTTACATCGGAATGAAAATGCATCTATAGCAGAAGAAGGGATGGGGCCCCTCAAGACAACTAATCAAAATCCAGGCATAAGACATTTATCGTCCAATTACAAGTCCTTTAACATAGGCAGTTGGCACTATTCTGCACGTGTTAAAAATTAAGAAGGGTAACAGACCTCTCTCTCTCTCTCTCTCTCTCTCTCTCTCTCTCTCTCTCTCTCTCTCTCTCTCTGTGTGTGTGTGTGTGTGTGTGTGTGTGTTTCTCTGAGTCTCTCTCTCTTTCCCAGAATAGCTTTTGTTCTGCTTTATCTGATAAGTTCGGAACTTGCTTCCCGAAACATCCTCCCGATGGGCAATATAAAACTCACCAAACTGCAAGCTATATCCGGCAACAGTCAATGAGAAACCATCGCCCGCGTCATTCCCCTTTCCTGTTTTCTAACCCAGTGTGAGTAGCAGTCTGCTTGCCTGCCTGCCTTTGCGAGACAGGCTAAATGCAGCGCAGCGCGGTTCGTGGCAATCCACACAAGAAAGGAAGAAGCTAATAAAGTACAACAGCTGCTTATCAATAAAAGATGAGGTGGTTTTTTTAAAGGGAGGTACATCAAGAAATCCCTTCCAAAAGCACATCCTCTGGATTAAATCTGGGAAACTCCGTGGACAAGAAAGTTGCGTTCTTGAAGTGGAATGCCCTGAGGTTGTCTATGCAGGGAGCTGTCCAGGTGCTGAAATTGAGAACATCAACTTTGGAAGGCCAATTGTGGTTTCAAAAAAGTTTCAAAAATCTGTTTCTGTTGACATGAGACTTTGGGGAAACTCTTCAGTTCCCGGGATCGTATCCGAAGAAAGAGAGCGAGAACTAGAGAATTTGTTAAGCCTGTCTTAAAATTGAACGCGATTCTATTAAAGCAAATCCTCATAGAAACTGGATGTTTACCTAGAAAATCGAAGAAGAAAAGTCTCCCGAGCGGGGGAAGCACGAGGAAGGCAGATTATAATAAAGAGGGGGGGGGCACAAAAAAAACCAAATAACACAGGAGGCTACGTTCAAAATACAGCAATGCAGCAGGCTAAGTAACCAGGAATGTTAAAATCATTAAATGCCTCTTACCTGTTAGTTTGTTTCTTAAATAAAAACAACCGCCACCAACCCTGAAAAGAGTATTTCTTGAAATCCAAGCGGATAGCAAAGACAGGATGCAGGCAGCATTGCTTTCTTCCCCTTTTATACCACGTTATCCAATTAATATTGCATCAACCTTATTTTAAAATTTCAGAACCCACAATATAATGTAATGACACAAGGGCATTTATTATTAAAGGACATTTGATTGGGGGAAATCATTGGGGCTTGCTGAGAAAACAAAATGAAACCAGGGCGTTGGAGGAGAGTTTAATGCTCTTTCTTACGATTTTCTTCATGGGACTAAAAAAAAAAAACTTTAAAAAAAAACACTCAGTAAGGATCTTTTCTTGTTATTTTTTCAAAGGAAGCAGAATGTGGTCGGAGTTTTGTTGCTGGATATTCATTGATATGCAAGGGCGAGACATTCCGAAGATCGCTGCGGTTCGAGCATTAATTTTTAATCCTTTAAGGTGCTTCGGGGATTTATAAACAAAAGCCCTACTTTCCTTTTAAGCAGAATTCCAAATCAACCTTTGATACAGTTGTTTTGAGCGATTTCTTTCCTTCTCAATGGAACTTCAAACAAAGAAGTTCCATCCTTGTCCTGCTGAGAAGGGCTTCGGCTAAACTTTCTTACAAAAACAATCAGTCCGGTACAGTATTTTGTTTTATTTTTTAATGAACAGCAATAAAATTTGATTTTATTTTTTTAATGAACTGCGAAATTATTTTCACCATTAGTGGGCTCTGTAGGCTTTACCACAAGAAAGTTTTAAGATTTTGGCAAGGGATGTTGTTATATTAGAGTACTTCTTTCTCTCTCTCTCTCTCTCTCTCTCTCTCTCTCTCCAAAACATTGACCATCCAATAAAAAAGTTCGCACGTGGGAACAGCGGTAAGAAATGCATCAAAACAACAACAACAACAAAAAAAACGTCATATGGAGGGATGAGAATTAAGTGTTATCATTAACACTCAAAGTATGATATAATGTGAAGAAAGAACTGGTTTTCTAGGAAGAAGACGCGGGCCGAAATTAGGTATAACGTAATACAGTACATACAATAATCTTAAGGAACGGCTTGACCCCTATCGCTGCAACCCTGTAACGCTTTTCCGATGAATTAGCCCCTCTGAACTCGGAGTACATCGTATAGGAAAATATTTGGAAAGTCAAGTTCAGCAATACTTATATTGGGGTCAACCACAATGTCACAAAAGCGTGGCAAGCTTTCACCTTCTCCAGAACTCTTCGTCAGGCAAGATGTGCCACTCTCTTTTCTGGCACAAATATCACTCGCTTCACTGAAACATTTTAGCGCGCCTAAAAATGTTTCTCCCTGTCCCCCACACTTCTTCATCTAAACAGAAAGCAAGATCAACCACAAGATCAACCCACAAAACGGTCGTGGGGGCGGGGGAGGGAGAAAAAAAACTTCAGTTCAGGTTGAAAAATAAAGCTTCTTTTATTTGAGAAATTTCAGAATGTCTTTCCAGGGAGGCGGGGGCAGAAAGTTAGTGACAAAGAGAAAGGTGTAGAGATGACAGGAGTGGACAAAATGCCCCAATTACAGGGAGGAAATATAAATTTTCCAAGGAGAGGGGCGGATACAAATACAGACAAGACATTTTGCAAAAAGAACTCTTTACTTGGTGCAGAAACATGTTTAGATCAAAGCCCGGACGAGGACTGACAGCTATATTTTAAAAACTCCTGCGGGACTGTCTTCAGTTCAAAATGGGTTCCGCAGTGGGCCAAAAGTAAACTCTTTTCGGAGGTGCAATGAAAAGTCTCACATCTATTGTTGTTTTTCTTTTAAAGTCACTCAGACTCAACAGACTCAAGTGAAAGAGCTCGGATTTCAAGCCTGCTAGACCCACTAAACTCCAGTTCCAATGAGCTTTTATGCAGTTAGTGTTGCAGATCGTCCTGTGCGGGTGAAAGTTTTCCTTACTAGAAGGGGAGTTTTACTTTTTGACCGGGATGAGGTGCCTTTTGGCCGGCGGGGGGTGGGCACACACGTTACGCCATGTGGATGCAGTGGCTCACCTCAGGCAAAAATCTATTACTTGTTGCTGGCTCAGTATGATCTTTCAAATAAAAAAGTAAACGCATCCACGAGTCGCTGATGGAGGGTGGGGAATGCAAGTTCCCCCACTCCCCAACAAAGATTTCCATTCGGCATGGATTTATTTTAGATAACCCCCTCTTCCTTCCTCTCTCCTCACCCAAGAAACAACGAACTATACTGCATCTGGAGAGAGGCATGCGTGTGTGTGTGTGAAAAATAAGACCAAGCCATTTTGCTGTTAAAAATTCCAAATGCTCGGCACACTTCCGCTTTTTAAGGAGGAATCGGGTTTTGTGTTGTTGTTTTTTTAAGTTATCCACAGCATGCAATTGACCAAGCATGTAAAAGGCGGTGGAGCAACAAAAACTACCCAAACCTGGCTTCAAATTACAATAGCGGACTTTCAGAAAATAGCCTCCCCCTGCCCACCGATACAAATCCACAAAATCTGAATAAATCTTCATTCTCTTCTCTCCCGGTCCTCTCTCTCCCCCCCCCCTCTCTCTGCATAAATCCAGATGCGGTTTATTCCCTCCGAACTGCATCTACCACTGCCGTTCTTATTGCGTCATTTTTTATTTTAATTTTTTTAAAAAAGAAATCAGTACCTCTCGAGTTTAAACTCTTCCAACAAAAATGGCAAGCTTCATACACTCTCTGGGACGCCAGAAGACACACACTCGGGTGAGAAGAGAAACCCAGAAGGATGAAACGGGAAAGATGGCTTGGAGGTTGGGGGAGAAACAAACTTTTTGTGTGTGCGCGCGTTTTATTTTGGATGGTTAGTAGTTTTGATTTGCAGCCGCTCCCGCAGGGAGGAACAACAGTAAGCTGTGCCAACTGAATGATGATGATGAAAATAATTAATAAGCAATAAATAGTAATAATAATAATAATAAATAAAATAAATAAACCAGGCGGCCGATGGCCAGAGGAAAAGAAGGAAGCGTTTGTTGGTTGGTTAAGGTCCATGGCTTTGTGGCTCGGTAGGGCTGTCCTTGCAGAGATCCATTTATTCCGCTCCCTGTTGCCGTCGAGCAACATCTATAGAGATCTATATAGATATAGCTATAGATATACTGTATGTATGTGATCTATGGTCTTTGGTGCACCTGGCGTTCTCAGTGCCCCGCCGAGTACTTCATGCGCTTCTGCTTCTGCCTCTGGTTGCAGAACCAGACGCGCACGACGTTCTTCTTGAGCTCCAGCTTGTCGGCGATGGCGGCGATCTTCTCAGACGACGGGCGCGGCTGCAGCGCGAAGTAAGCTTCCAGCGAGCGCTTCTCCGGCGCCGCGATGGACGTGCGCTTGCGCTTGCGCTCGGCGCCGCGCAGCAGCTCGGCCTGCGCGCTCCTCTCGCGACAGGCGGCCTCGGCCTCGTCGAGCCACGCTTGCAAGACGGGCTTGAGCGCGATCATGTTGTTGTGCGACAGCGTGAGCGACTCGAAGCGGCAGATGGTGCTCTGGCTCAGAGAGCCGACGCCGGGCAGCTTCAGGCTGGCCAGCGCCGCGCCCACGTCGGCTTGGGTCACGCCCAGCTTGATGCGCCGCTGCTTGAAGCGCTCGGCGAACGCCTCCAGCTCGCGAGGGTCCGACTCCACGTCGCCCAGGCAAGGCAAACCCGCGTGGGGAGCCGGCACCGGGGCCGTCGAGGGAGGCGGCGGCGGAGGAGCGTGCGCCATGCTCGCCATGGCTTGGTGGAGGTGGCCCATGGCTGCGCCCAGGTGTGGGTGCGCGTGAGGGTGCATGGGGCCGGCCAGCACCGCGCCCGGCTCGGGGCCGCCCAGCAGCGCGGGAGAGAGGTGCTCCAGGAGATCTCCGCCGTCGAGGCTTTGGTGCTGCGCCCCGGCGTGGTGGTGCGGGTGGGGATGGTGCGGGTGATGGTGAGGATGTTGCGCGTGGTGGTGGTGATGGTGGTGCGAGGGCGCCGAGATGGCCACGGGGGGCGAGGAGCTGGACGCCGCCGACGTGCAGGGGACGCTGCTCATGGTATGGTAGGTGGCGTCGGGCTTGAAAGGATGGCTCTTGCCGTGCGAGACCAGGTCCACCGCCGCCAGAGCTTCCGCGCGGGCCAGCAGACTCTCATCAAAGCTCCCGAATATATTGCCCTGCAGCTGCAAGCAAGAACGCGCAGAGCGCCGTCAGTGGGGAATACCGTCAAGTCGGCATTCAAACACATTTTCTCTCTCTCAAGCACAGAGATTCCTCTTCTCAAAGCTCAGGTCATAAAAATTAATATGAAGGCGCAAGATGCTTTGCTGGAACAGACATGTGGATCAGAGAGAGGGAGGGGGAGAGGGAGAGAGGGAGATTGTGCAGGAGACATGAAAAAAACATTAAGCCGGGCCTGTCAGAAAATGTGCCTTCGAGCAGTCGCGAGGCTCCGTCTACGTACCTGCGGGGCTGGCAGGCACACGCGGCGCATCGCCTCCGAGCTGGAGTGCAGGCTGGCGAACTTGGCTTCCTGCAGGGCAGGGTGCACGCCGAAAGGCGCCTTGGCGTTCATGCCCAGCATCTTGGCGCACCTGGCCGGGACGCGGCGTCGGGCATCGAGGCCGCCTTGGTTCTCTGGCGGGCGCCTGTCAAAGTGAGCGGTGCTCAAGGACAACGCTTCCCTTGCCACGGCGCTGCGCCTCGGCCCCCCCGCCCCGCGCCTGCTTCCACCTCGGCTTCTTCACTCATCTTACAAGCCTTGCCTGCCATGGGACCAGCACCCTGTGCGCACGCGTGCTGCTGCTGCTGCTGGTGCCGGCCAAGAGGGAAGAGGGGGGGAGCCCCAGGGAGGGAGCAGCAGGGGAGAGCAGGGGGTCCCCAGCTAAGGCGCAGGGAAGGATCCTGCCAAAAGCCATTTTTTAAAAAAGGCCGCCCCGTCGACTGTGACAGGGATTGCTTTCTGGCCGCTCGTTAAGAGGCCGGAGAACTGGCCAGGACGAAGAAAGCAGGTAAATGCGCACCGTCCCAAGGCGACAAACCTGGCCAGTTGTGGCGCTCCGTGCGTTTTTTTTCCAGCTCCCGAGGGGCCAGGGTTTCAAATCATAGAATTGGGATCCTGAGGATCATCTAGTCCAACCCCCTGCAATGCCGGAATATGCAACTGTCCCATACAGAGATCCAACCTGCAACTTCCGTAGTCTAGCCAACTGAGCTATCCATTTTATTTTTTTTTAACAACAGCAGAATACGTAATAATTTGGAGGCTTGGAAAAGAACCGTGTCTTTTCGCTGTGCTGCACATTGCAGATCTGCTGGATATATTATAACATAGCTTTCCTTTTTTTTAAAAAAAAAAATATTTATTAAAGATTTTAAACATTCAAAACACCAAACACATATAAAACCATCACCATTCTACATTGAACAAAAGTAGAAAAACACACACACACAAATATAACAAAAAACAAACAAACAAACACATACTGCAAAGCAACAACAAAATCAAGTAGTTCGTAACCATATTTTCCTTCTTTTGGACCTCCTCACATCTCCCGTTCCTGCGTTCCCAATTTCTAGAGTTATAAACAGCAAGTTATGACCTTATTTCATATCTTATTTTGTGATTTTCCAATACTATGTCTATAAATATAAATATTTTTATCCTAAACTTGAATACTTAATTTAAACATAATATTAATCTTTAGATTTTTCTTCTTCTGAGATTTCACTTATTCTCATATTCTCTTCACCTTATTTACTGATGCCCTGTTGTTCTCATTCCTGCACCTTTCTTAACACTCATATAGTTTACAATGTTTTTGTAAATAACTCTTGAATTTCTTCCAATCCTCTTCCACTGCTTCTTCTCCCAAGTCTCGGATTCTGCCGGTCATTTCTGCGAGTTCCATATAGTCTATCAGTTGCGTCTGCCATTCTTCCAGCGTGGGCAAATCTTGAACTTTCCAATTCTTAGCGATGAGTATCCTTGCTGCTGTTGTTGCATACATAAAAAATGTTCGGTCCTCCTTTAACACCCTCTGGCCAACAATGGCCAAAAGGAAGGCCTCTGGTTTCTTAGGGAAGGTATACTTAAATACCTTTTTCAACTCATTATATATCATTTCCCAGAAAGCCTTAACCCTAGGGCAGGTCCACCAGAGGTGAAAGAAAGTTCCTTCAGTTTCTTTACATTTCCAACATTTATTATCAGGCAAGTGATATACTTTTGCAAGCTTGACTGGGGTCATGTACCACCTATATATCATTTTCATATTTTCCTTTAAGGCATTACATGCCGTGAACTTCACACCGGTGGTCCATAACTTTTCCCAGTCAGCAAACATAATATTGTACCCAATATCCTGTGCCCATTTTATCATAGCTGACTTAACCGTTTCATCCTGTGTATTCCATTTTAACAGCAAGTTGTACATTTTTGAAAGTACCTTAGTCTTGGGTTCTAACAGTTCTGTTTCTAACTTCGATTTTTCCACCTGGAATCCTATCTTTTTGTCCAATTTAAAAGCCTCTTTAATCTGAGCGTAATGTAACCAATCTCACACCTTATCTTTTAATTTCTCCAGACTCTGCAACTTCCAAGTATCTCCATCCTTTTCTAGTATCTCCCAATATTTCGGCCATTTGGCCTCCATATTGAGTCTTTTCGGGGCCTTAGCTTCCATTGGTGACAACCACCTCGGGGTTTTATTTTCTAATAAGTCTTTGTATTTCATCCAGACATTAAACACTGCTTTCCTGACAATATGGTTCTTAAAAGCCTTATGAACCTTAACCTTGTCATACCACAAATATGCATGCCACCCATAAGCATTGTTAAATCCTTCTAAATCTAAAAGATCAGTGTTTTCAAGAAGCAGCCAATCCTTCAACCAGCAGAAAGCTGCTGATTCATAATACAACATTAAGTCTGGCAGGGCAAACCCCCCTCTTTCTTTAGCATCAGTTAGTATTTTAAACTTAATTCTGGGCTTTTTGCCCTGCCAGACAAATTTAGAAATATCTCTCTGCCACTTCCTGAAACAGTCCACTTTGTCCACAATCTGTAAAGTCTGAAACAAAAACAGCATTTTTGGCAATACGTTCATCTTTATAGCAGCAATTCGGCCCAACATAACATAGCTTTCCTCCCAGGCAACATACATAGGTTACCTCTCTCTTTTATCTTCACAGCTACAACAGCCTAGTGAGGTAAGGTTCGGCAGAGAGACAGACAGACACCAGTCCAGGATCAAATTCTGGCCTAGTGGGGATTTGAAACCTCCCCAAGTCTACTCTGATACTCTAATCACTACACACAGAAGAGAATTTATCCTGGAATAACGAACACCCCCTTTGTTAAATGACGTGCACACACACCCATTGCCTCTGCATGCATACCTTGGCTCTGCACGCCAAGTCCTAATAAATAAACACTTTCTCTTGCTCCTCTACCTACCAGTCATGGGTGTAGCCAATATTCTTGAGGGGGGCAGGACTTTGTTGGGGGGCAGAACTCATGTGATTGGTCAGTCAGTCAAATATTTCTATTGTTTTACTTGATCTAGGGGGGCAGCTGCCCCCCCTTCCCCCCACACTACCCATATTTCTTTCATGAAGGTGGAACCTGTTTGCACAAAATTTGACTCAGGTCCAAGGAAATCTCCACTCATCTAGGGCACTGTCGGTTCTTCTCCCCAGTCGCAAAAAATGCCTATGGGTTCCAGATGTTTTCTATCTCCTGGGTGTCATAATCTGAGTCTATTAAAGGCGTTGATCTTAAATGCTTTTTTCGTTTCTTTTTTCTTTTTCTTTTTTGACAGCTGCACAAATCTCTGGTTCTTTTAATGAAGGATAAAGTATGTTTAGTGCTTCTCTTCGGTCGGCTTCTAAAAAGCTAGCAGTGCAGAAACTCTTTCCTTGAACGGTACGTAGACTTTCCTGCGATGACTTGTGTGGCTACTTAAACAACTCGCAGAGAGAAACACCTCCTGAAAATGGGCCAATGGGAGAGACCTGTTACTGGGGGTTGGTTAACAAGGGTTGTTGACCGATCATGGGGAACTTATGCAACTGTGTACACAAGCACTGCGGGACAGGTTAGGTCAACCTAGAAAAGAGCTCGTCTGCTCTGTCTGCCCTCTGACCACGCATCATTGTCCCACCACCAATACCTTGGCTCTGAGCCTTCTTCCTCTGGGGGTTCCCATGGGATTCCCAACTGGTGCTTCCCAGCCAGTCCCTGACACACATAGCCATCATAGCTAGGAGTCATGGATAACCTTATACATGAGGATTTGTATAATCCTCTCTTAAAACCATCCCAGTGGGTATCCAGCCAACTACTACAACCTGTGGGAACCTGTTTTGCCCAGGAACTTCTAGTCTCTGCCTCATTAGAGCTTGGGGGCAGGGAGGGAGAATCTTCATCACCTGTTTTTTGTGAAGGGGATCTAGCTCTCCCTCCTGGCTAACTAAAGCTGTCCAAATTTTCTCCCATCTGTCTCACTCCTGGAACTGTGTGGCAAGCGAGCACAGCAGAGTAACGCAACAGGTGCCCCAGGTTAGAGCCGCCACATGTTCAGAGCTGCCGCCAGGGCAAAGGGAAGCAGCTCAGAGCCAGCACAGGGCACCACAAGGGAAGGAACCACAAAGTATTTGGGGCAGTGGGGGGGGAGGGGAAGAAGAGGAACACAGTCTGATTCCAGGCTGGAGGAATTCATGTGGTGTGTAAGGGGGCACTCTCAGGCGCCCCCTCTCAGTTGTGCACTCTCAGATGTACAGCCAGGATCAGCTGCTAGAGGCCACACAGCCAAACCCAACCCTTTACCACACAATTCCTAGGAGTATCAGCTGCCCCCACAGTTGCCATTCTGGAGGCAGAAGCAGTGCTTGGTGAGGAGCAGTGATGGGGGGGGGGAACAGGGTGCTGTCATTCCACCTTTGGGATCCATGGATACAGCTCTTGCCACTTGCCCTCTGTCTGAGGTGAGGGTAGCCAATGGTTCTCAAACCCTCAGTGAGTTTGGGAATATCCCCTGCTTGTGAAGACAGGCTCCAGCAGATTGAGAGGATGAGACCAATAGCGGATCTAATGGTCAAGAAGGAGGTTTCTGCATGTGCTGTAGGGGGAAGTGAGGGGCAGATGGACCTTGTCAATCTGATAATTTAGCCTGTCTAAGAGAACGAAAAATCAGATACCAAACCTCTGCTGCCTTGAAAGATATCTTCAGGAGAAGAAAAGTCTAAGGGGTAAACCCTACACAAATTTGGAGTGGAGTCCCTAAGATGGTTGGACAACGTCTTGTACACCTCCCTCCGGCAACTCCTGCAGCCAAGTTGGTGCTAAATATGTTGCTCTGGTTTCCTTTGGACCAAATCAGTGAGGCTGAGAGGGGGGTCTGAGCAGCCCAGGACCTCCATACACACTGCCCAGGCTTGCACCCTGGGAAGGTCACTTAGGTGCTGCTAATGCAGTGGTTTGACTTCATCCCCAGAGGTGCACTCCATTATCTCTAGAGACAAACGGATGCCAATAATGACTGAAACATCTCTGGTTAATGTAAGAGTGTACAATCTCCTCTC